AAAACTGAGGCTTAGAAGAGTTAAGAAAACTGGTAAGCATCAGCACCCAGATTACACCCCAAGTCTGTGCGTCTCCAAAGGCCGCTACCCCCTACTCAGCTGGCTGGAGTGAGGCAGCTCATTCCTGTTAGGGCCTGAGTGGAGGCAGAGGGTAGGAAGTGCAAGGCTCAGGATGACCATCTGGAGAAGGGGCCTGGAGAGGTGGCTGCAGCCGAGTTCCTGAGAGCCTCGAGGGCCAGTGCCAAGTACCTGTCCTCATTAATAGGCAATGGAGGGCTTCCCTGGTGGCGCAGTGGTTGGGAGTCCGCCTGCCAGTGCGGGGGACACGGGTTCAACCCCTGGTCCGGAGGCTCCCACATGCCACGGAACAACTAACCCCACGCGCCACAACTACCGAGCCTGCGCTCTGGAGCCCGTGAGACACAACTACTGAGCCCACATGCCACAACTACTGAAGCCCATGTGCCTAGAGCCCGTGCTCTGCAACAAGAGAAGCCACCACAGTGAGAAGCCCGCACACCGCAACGAGGATCCAATGCAGCCAAAAATAAATAAATAAATACAACAAATAAATTTTTTTAAAAATTAAAAAAAAAAAAGGGCAATGGAGAGGTCAGACATATGGGCCCACAAGATCAGTGGTAAAAGGATGGGGGCTGAGAAAGTGGAAGGGAAGAGGCGTTCACAATGGTCTGGGTGAGAGACTGCACCGGGGTGAGGTGAGAGGGTGCTCGGGAACCTGTGAGCTCATGCCTGTGTGTTAGGTATGGAGATTATGTATGTGTGAGAAGGGGAGAGTGTGTGCCAGTGTGAGCGACACACGAGCAAGCGTGGAGCCCTGCTTGTTGAAGAAGGACGTTGCAGGGCCTTCCCAGGGGAGGTGCGGGTAAGGTCAGCTGGGGAGAGAGGGAGGGACAGGGCTAATGGATGGATCTACCGGTGCAGGAGGGCTCCGGTGAATGAAACCAGCATCTGACTTTCTCACAGCTCCGTGGGTCCTGGGGAGCCCACAGGGCCTGGCATAGGGGAGGGACTCAGTTAACATTTGTTCAAGGGATGGCTTGTATGAATTTAAGACCTCGCCTCTTGTCCCTTCCCAGGCCTGGCTTTGCCCTCCAGCTGCATGGGGGGCACTGTCATTCCAACTAGATCCTCCCTCATCCCTGGCTTCAGATCAGATCTTCTGAGCTCAGCAGCCACCTTCCCATGGTCCCAGCCTGGTTCCCAGGGCCCCAGCCCCGCTCCCCCGCGCATCTTTGTAACAAGTGTGTTCCTGTGTGAGCTCCAAGCTGACTTCTACTTTCCCAGGTCAGAGGGCCCCTCCTCCTTCCCATTCCAGAGAAGAGAAGATGCTGCCAAATTGGTTCCAAGCTTTTGTCTTGGCCAGAGACACCCTGCTTCTCATTAGAGACAGAAAACCCTGATCGGCACCTCCCGTCATGCTCTCCAGCTGGTCCAAGGCTCTCCATCCAGAGGATTCATAGAGCCAGCAAATGATGGCCTTGGACCTCATCCTCTCCAGAGACCACATCTCCCAAGACTCCACCCAGCCCCAGTTTTCATCCTGGCAGAAGAGACCAGGTGCACATGGTGTCCAGGGGGACCGGCTACAGCAGCCTGAGAGAAAGAAGCCCAGTCTGAGCTTCCTGAGCATCTCCTGGCCCACGGGGTGAAAGGGGAGGCCTTCTCCGGAGTGACCGGAGACCAGCCCCTTTCCTGCTCAGCTTAGCTACAACCCTGTGTTATGAAATCATGAGTACAGTTTGGCACCCGGAGAGAAAAGGGATCTCTTTCAAGACTGTACAATCTATAAAAATTAGGAGGCAGAAATGCCTTAGAAATCATGAAATCTAGCCCCTCTGCTGACGGATGTGGAAACAGAGGTCTAAAATCGTGGAGGCTTTCAGTTGCTTGAGATCAGTCTAAACCATTTCTGACTTTTGCCAGAAACCCAGTTTGCATCCTAATGGATATCTGTGGCATGAATGCACTTCCCCCTGGAGCACAGGCAGGACTACAGCCTGGGTCTGTGTCTCCAGTTCACAGCCTTTCTGCTACAGGCTCTCTGCCTCCAGGGGCTGTGCCTGTCATGACTGGTTTGCTTCCTCCAGGGTATTCAGGCAGAAGCTGGTGGGTGATTTGTCAGACAGTGAGTCCTGGGGGCTGCCTGGCACAGTCTGCCACCCAGCTGGCAGCCAGCTAGGTCCAACAGGGCTGGGCTCTGACTTACGGGGGGTCTGGTGGGCTGGCTTCCCTATGGCTGTGGGGAGTTTCCAGGGTCTAGGGAAGTGCTCCTCCTGGCCCCTCTCCGGGCCACATTCTCCCAGAAAATAGGATGGAGCAGGCTCTCCACCCACTAGGGCACCCACACTTTGGAAGGGATCCTGGTCCCCAGAGGATTGCTGGCAATAAAGAAAAGAAGGCAAGTGATGTGGGACAGGAAGTATGGGGGTCACAAATCCTGGCTAAAGAGTCAGAGGCCTCAGCCACAGCTGGGTGTGTGACCCCAAGCCTCAGTTTCCCCATCTACGTGATGTCCTGATTGGATGTTCCCCTTCCGGCTCTGAGAAATCTAGGACTCTGAGGTCAGGGACTGTGTCTTCCTTCTCACCCTCATGGCCCTAGCAATGAACACATTGTAAGTACTTAAAACAATTCCTTGAATAATTGAATGAAATGGGGCCTAAGTCAGTCCAGAGATCACAAGGCGGCCAGGAAGGAGACCCCTGCCTCCGGTGACTACCATGAGGACCCCTAGAGAAGCGACAGGTCTTAGAAAAGCCCTGGCAATCCAGGAGCCCTCTGCAAACCCACTTCCTCTCCTAGATGCACAGATGTGGCTGGCGGAGCCAAGGAGAAAGCAGGAAAGTGTACCTGGGGGAGGGAGGATAGCCTGGGCCTCCTCCCTGCCATCACCCTACCTACACTTTCTACACTCACCTGGCTCCTCTTTCTGGCTCCCCTCTCCTCCCAGCCCCCATCCAGGCTTTGTCTCCTCTCCCTGCCCTCTCTGCTTTCCGCTCTCCAAACACAGTCACACTTTTCCTCCCTCCTCTGGGGGGGCTCAGAGCCTTCTGCTGGTCCCAGAGCTGCCTGATCCTCTGCTAGGCAGGAAGACCCAGCTGCAGAGTCCAGACTCCTAGGAGGGGCCAGGAGCCCCAGGCTTTCTCAGGGTCATGGAGAGATTTAAATTCTGGTCCACGCCCAGCCTCTTGCATCTAGCACCTAGGAGAGGGGCTGCCCTCTGAGGGAATCTGGAAGTGCATTCCTCTCCACCTTCTTCTGCAGGGTTCTTGGGGAGGCGTTTCCTTCTGGCCTTCTTGAGCCTTCCCCTACATGCTCCTTGGCATAGAGCTAGGAAACTGCCCTCTCTCTTCCAGCCAGACCTACTGCGAAGAAGTACTGCGTGTGTGTTGGGGAAGCAATGGGATGTTATTGCTGGTATGTGTGAAAGCACACACAGTGCGATGACAGGGTGTACGTGTGGCACTGGGGGTGATGTGTTGTGGTGTGGTATATGTATGGTGTATTTGGTGTGTTATGTGGTGTGCATGTGGTATGATATATGTGTGTGTAGTGTGTTGATGCAGTGTGTGTGGCAAGTAGGATGTGCGGTATGTGTGTGAGTGTATAGGTGGTGTGGCAAGTGTGCATATGTTTGGGGTGTGTTTGTGATGCGTACTGTGTGTTGGGGGGCCTGGATGGGGTAGGGACCACATCACTTTGAGCTGGGAGCTAGCTAGCTCTCCAGGGTCTCCTACTCTGAGAAGTCAGGGATAACCAGTATCTAGGCAACCATGTTGGGGGGAGGGGAGGAGATATGGAGGTAAAGAATGGGCAGGAAAAGGAGGGAGGCTGAGAATTGAAGAGGGGTTTCTATGGCAACTACCGGGCAGGTCACGTGAAAAAGGCTAAGTTGCGGAAACAGATATACATATCCACACATACACAGTATGAGGGTACTGGGCCCTCACAGAGGGATCCTTCAACAGAGGACGTGGGCTGCCCACTGATCCATCTCCAAACCTGGAAATCTGGGCCCAGCCAGAGAGCACAACGCCAAGGAGACAAAGCAAGTGGAGACAGAGGCCCCATTTGTGGCGAGAAGCCCCGGCAGCCACAGCCCACCGTGTCTGGAGGTGGGCAGCAGGGGCCTAGCCAGGCCCATTGCTCCAGTGTGGCTGCTCCCTGCTCCCACCGTCAGGTGCTCCCTTTACCAGCCACCACTTGTAAGAGCCCAGAAGCGAGCGCCAGTAGCCCCAGGCGGCCCTTCCAAGTCTCCATGGAAGCCCAAGAGACACAATGGGGAAGGCTGTGCCAGAGCCAGCCCTGCTGGGGAAAGAGGGCTGGGTACCAGGAAAGGAGGGAATGGGGGGGGGGGCGGTCAGGGCCCCCTGGAGGAAGCTAGGACTGGTTAGACAAGAAGAGAGGAAAATTGATGCAGACACTCTCATGAACCCCACGCCCTGGAATCAGCCTTCCTTACCTGCCCCCATTCCCAGTGCCCCCTGCCCAGCCCCAGCTCTCCCTGTCCCCCAAGCACCGAGCCAGCAAGTTCCATTTTGTATGGTTATGTGTGCACACACACAGCCGGCCCCCTCCCTCTCTTCACCTCCGCACACTCCACTTAAACAGTCCAAGCTTCCAAGTAACAAAGGAAAAACCCCTGGACACAGCGGAGAGCAGCCCTTTCCCCTTCTCCCAAAACCGTAGCCCCAAGCTCTAGGTAGCGGCAAGCCCCTTTCCAGAACACCTTCAGTCCCACCGCCACGGCCTGCCTCCCCTCGGCAGCCCCTCTTCTCTTCCGACGACCACCTCCGGGTTTCCATCTCCTGCCCGGTTTCCGCGGCCCAGGCGGCAGCTGCCTGGCGAGGACCGCTCACACCCACCGAAACAAACCAACCCTGGCAGCATCCCGGCGCCCCGCGATCTGTCCCCACCCCAGCCTCTCTCCCTCTCCGGAAGAAGAACCCAACTTTGCCACCACCGCAGCCACTTACCTGCACAGCGCGGTCCCCTCCGAGACAATCCCAGGAGGATGCGCGGAGTCCGGAGGAGCCTGGGAGCGGCGGGGCTGTGGGCAGGGCTGTGGGCGAGGCTTTCGCTTTTTTCCCGCCTCCCTTGCTGGGAAGGGCTGGGACTTGTTGGAGAGGCGCGTCCTGCAGGGGTGGGGAGTGGTGGGCGGGAGCTCAGCCGGGGCTGGGCTCCGGGGACCGCGATGTCACCGTCCGCCGACCTCCTGTTGGCGTCCGCGCGCAGACCCCTCTCCTGTTCGCCGCGCGCCGCCGGCTCCTCGGAGCGCGCCGCCGCTGCTCCCGGGTGCGGGAGAGATTCTGTTTCAAAGGGCAGGCCGCTCCGAGAAGCAACAGGAGACCGCCGTCGAGGGCGCGGGTTAGCGCCGGCGCGCATTCGCCGCCAGCTGTGGCTTTCTGGTTTTCCTCTGCTGAGGGTGGGGAGGGAGCGAGACAAACACGATGACAGAGCTAGTGTCTCTCCGAAATAGTAAACTCGGGGAGGGGGGGAGGGGGCGAGGGGGGACGGAAAAATACGAGAAAATAACCCAGCACCAGACACAGCAACCCACGTTAATTGGAAGTCTTGACAATGAAGTGGGATGCGCACCTAAAGCATGAATGGCTGTGTCGTGGGAGCGCGAGCCGGTTCTGGCCGGAGTTGTCATTTTCAGCAAGAGCCAGGGGGGCTGCTGAGGGGCTCGCTGGAACCACAGATTTGCTGCCCAGATCCCCCTCATCAGGGCCCCTCGTCCCGCTCCTGCCGGGTCACAGTACCGCCCCCTCCCCAGTCCACTCCTCAGGTCCAAATTCGAGACGACAAACTTAATGAGAAGATTTAAATCCTAGCTCCGCACCCGCACCTGTGATGTGACCTTGAGCACAGCACTGAAGGGAACACTTGAGCCTCAGTTTCCTTCCATGTGAAACGGCGGTGAGAACCCTGACCCCCGGGAGCTGAGCCCAGCGCTCAGAGCGAGTGCTCCGTAAGCCGGCAGTCGCTGCGAGGGGCAGGGCCTGTAGCAAGGGCCCGAGGCCAGGCACTGGCAGAAACCACGGACACGGCAAGGGCTGGCCACTCGGTTGGTAGCCAGGAAGCCATGCTGCCGGCCATGAGGCTGCCCAGCCTGAGCCAGGAGGGGGATCGACAGGACTGGGGGTGGGGGAGAGGGGGCCGGTTCCTGAGAGAGGCTGTAACTGTCCAAGCCCGAGAGGAGCCTCAGGGACTTCCTTACAGACCCGGAACCCTAGTACGCTGGGTACTGCCAGGAAGAGACCCAGCCCTACCTCAACACCCCAAGCCCTGGCCCTCAGTTTTCTCACTTGTGAAATGAAGGACATGGGCTAGATAATCCAGAGGCCCCTTTCAGCTCGAACCCTAGATTGAATTATTTTAATAAATGGTCCAGTCTCAAAACCCCAAAGCAGGAAGTATACATGGATTCCAGAAGGCTTCGCACGGATGTGGAAGCCATAAATGGCCACTGAGAAAGAGTGGGGAACCCTCGAGAGGACAGGTTGGACTCCATGAGCACAGAACCTTGGACAGAGTGGACGTCTCTCTGGCCCAGTCCCGAAGTTCCTTGGGTGCCTTTGAAAAATCACTCGCTAGGCCCATGTCCTTGGGCAAGTAGATTAGTCCCTCGCAGACGCCCTTGAGGGCTGCCTGCCAGCATCTCACTGTGTTGCCTCTTGGAGTTCCTCCCGGTGAGGACACTTCAAACCCAGGTCTGAAAGTCTGTTTGAGAATGACAGGCCAGGGGTCAGAACTCCAAAGCCGAGTCACCTGTTAATACCAGCCCTTGTCTTACCAGAGAATTCCAAGGTGTTTGGCCAAATCACTCAGATGCCCCTTAGCAGTGAAAGGCCGCAGAGGGGCAGCTGGGGCTACATTCACGTGCGGAAGGACCTTGGCTTTCCCCTCAAATGTGCTTCTCCCCAGTCCATCCAGAGGCACAGCTGAGGGAGTTTGGGGTGACACAGCTATGAAGTCACACACAAGTTTGTTCTAGCGGGAGTCCTGGCTCCCTCCTAGGGGAGGAATAAACACATCTAGCCCCTATGAAACATGTGGGCGTCAGTAAAAAAGGTCACCAGCTGCCTCATTCTTGCAACACATTTATTGGCATGAGGAGCTACTGGGCAGTGAGCCCTGGGCCAAGCTCCAGGCTCCACAGTGAAAGGATAGTCACGGTCCCTTAGAGCTAATTGGCAAGGCAGAGATTGACCAAATAATCCCATGGAGAAGTGTGTCATTAAAACAGCGTTCAGAGCCCTGAGGGTGTAGCGTTTGAGAAGCGAGCCGAAGGGTCAGGAGGTGTTAAGGAGATGAGGTGAAGGAGCCAGGAACGGGAGTGACAGGCAGGGTTGGGAAATGATTCTGACACGGGAACAGAAGCCACATGCGCAAAGGCCCTGAGGCAGAAGGAGCATGGCGTGAAAGGAGCCACAGTGGCTCTGGAGCAGAGGAGACAGGCTGGAGAAGGAAGCAGATGCCAGACCGGGCAGACCTGGTGGTTCCTGGGTGAGTCCAGCTTTTATTCTCCCGACAATGGAAAGCCACTGAAGGGCATTAAGAAAACTACTGCAAGCAAGAATTGGGGAGTTGCTGGCTCCATAGTGTGGGGGACCCTACAGTCAAGAATCAGGAGCTGTCAGGAGAGCAGTGCTCATCTGAAGCTGAGAAATCGGCTTGGATCCCAACTGAAGGGAACCCTGCTTCTCTAGAGGCCAAGGAGCAAAGAGAGAGAGCTGGGGCAGGTGTGCCCAGCCACGGTGGGCATAGGGCGCGAAAGCACAGAAGCCATTTCTAAAACCCTCCCCACTCTCAACCCCCCTCCATGCCCAGAATAAGATCCATGCCAGGACGTAGGGTTTGGAAGGATAGTGTAAGTGTTGGGAGCTTAAGGGACTTGTGCTGAGCTAAGTATCTTGCAATTGTTCAGCTAAAACTCCATCTGGATAACACTTGCCCCAGTTCCCTTGTACTGTGGCAAAAACAGACCTGCAATAAGTCAGTACCCAGGTCACACAGCTACGGACAGGAAGCAGAGGGCCTGCAGGGAAAATTAAAGGGGCAAGACCAGGAGTCACCCGAGGAGACCCTCGTCCCTCCTAGCAGTTCCTAGTAGAAACAGCAAGCTTTGGGTGCTGTTTCATCCTAGGGTGCAGACTGCAGAAGCAGAGCAGACCTTGCCCACCAATTGCTACCTTGGGTCCATTCGTACTCATTTTACTTTGTAGGGTTTTGAAAGCGTGTTCTCTCCCACCCTCGGCCAAGTGCTAAGCCCCTCGCTGAAAGAGCTCTTCTCACTTCAAAAGCACTCCTTGGTCCTGATCCCTTCCCAACTCAGTTATTCATCCAGAAAAGTGTGTACCATCCTCATGCCTCTCCCCGCACTGCTTCTGTTCTAGGTACCAGCCTCCCGCTGGTGCCTCTGCCTCAGTCTCCCCACCCCACACTAACTCTTGTTTGGTAATAATTTTCCACAACACAGATGTGATTCAAACCTTCCAAGGCTCCCTATTTGCTACAAGTTAAAATCCAACTTCTTAAAATCCAACATTCAGTCTTTACCACCTGACACCCACCTACCTTTTCTGCTTCTTCTCCGACCCATTCTCTGCCCTGCCTTCCCCATCTCATCACTCTGGTCACCCCAGTCCTTGCAAACGCCGTCCCCCAGCTCAAGAGGGCCACTCACAGTTATCCAAATACATTGCTTGCTTTCCCACCCCAAAACTTTTGCTCATATAATCCTCTCTGCTTGAGATATCCTCTCCCTCCCTTCTCTACTTACATGAGTCATACCTACCATGCAAAGTGAAATTCAAATATCACCTTCTTGAAATTAAAGCTGTCTTGTCCACACTGTCATGAACTGCACTGTGTCTCTTCATCTGTGCTTGTACATATCATAGTCTGAATTTTACTGTGTTTAATTGCATGTGTGTGTGGCCCAAGTAGAATGGGAACTCCTTGGGATCAGCCAGGCATCTTACTCCATTTATACGCCCTAGTGTCTTGCATGGTGACTCTCTTATAACTGGTTGAATTTAAGTGGATTGCAGCTCACAAGACTCTGCATGATCCTGCCTCAGCCCACCTCTCCAGGTGCATTTCGAACACTTTCTTCCATGCTCTCTCTCCAGCCAGCAACCTCTCAGCTTAACCAGAGGGTCTTCATAACTGGTTCCCTGGGCACGGGTGCCCTGGGCCCAGACCACGCCGGCGAGCTGCAGCTGCTTTGTTCTCTCTTCCCAAGATGAAGGGATGAGGAAACCGGTGCTATTGAGGCCCAAGGCAGAGGAGAGAATGGTTCCCAGGCAAGACTGCCTGGAGAGGAGGAGCAGGGAACCCTGACACTGACATTGGGGGCTGAAAAGCAGGACTTCTCTGGCTGTGGCTGGAGCAGTGGGGGCTGGCTAGGATGGCAGACATCACTGGTTCCCTAGACCAGGTCCGTTCTCTTCCTTTGCCCTTCTTTTTTTTCCCCTTAGAATGTAATTTATTATTTGATTTTAGTTAATTCACTTAATTCTTCATTTCCTCATCGATGAACTCTTTTCTTTTTAAATTGGAGGATAGTTGATTTACAATGTTGTGTTAGTTTCAGGGGTATACAAAGTGAATCCGTTATACATATACCTATATCCACTCTTGTTTAGATTCTTTTCCCATACAGGTCATTAGAGAGTACTGAGTAGAGTTCCCTGTGCTATACAGTAGGTCCTTATTAGTTATCTGTTTTATATATAGCAGTGTGGATATGTCAGTCCCAAATTCCTAATTTCTCCCTTCCCCCCCTTCCTTTTCCCTTCTGTCAGAACATTTTTCTAATTCAGCTGCAACGTGTTCAGTTTAAACTACTGATTTTCCAGCAACTAGCGGTGTCCATATGATCCATTTCTGGCCAAGGAGATGGGAACAGAATTATACTCAGGAAGAATTCTAAGAAAGACACAGTAATATGTCCCTTTTGCCCTTTGCCCTTTGCCCTTTTCTTTTTCTCCCTTCTTCTGTTCCTTTTCTTCTTCCTCCTGTCCTTTCTCCCCCTCCCCCTTCTCCTTTTTTTTTTTTTATTGAAGTACAGTTGACTTATAACTAATTTATAACAGCTATGCTGTGTTAGATTCAGGTGTACAGCAAAGTGATTCAGTTATACATATATATATCTGTGCTCTTTTTCAGATT